TGTATTTATATTTTGCAATTACAGTGTAGCCTTACTTTGTTGCTGCTTTATCTTCTCAATATATATATACATACATATATATATTTTTGTTTCTTGTTCTTCTTCATTTGCAGCTCCTGTTTTTCTGTTTCTTATATCTTTTCTCTTTTGGCCCTGAAAGCCTGAAAAAGGAACGAAAAGTACAATAAAAATAAGAGCAAGAAAATGGGGGGGAAATCCCCAATGCTCCAATGGTCTCCACCTCCACCTTCTCTTCATCCCCCTTTAATCCTCAACCTTCTTGTTGTTTTTGCTGTCTTGTCAACAAGAACAACAATAACATCTACAGCATCTTAGACACATTTGCTGATTATGCTGCCGTCATAAAAAGCAGAGAAAATTAAAATAAAATATATAATAAAATAAAATCAAAAAGCAAGAAGGGTCTAAAGATACAAACGATGATGAATAAGAAGAAAAAGAAGCTCAAGTAGAAGAAAAAAAAATACGCCCTCATTCAGCTCTTTCACTCTCTCATTCCCTTTATCTTTATCTCTCTTTTTTTTTTGCCTGATAAGTGTTTGCATTTTGTTTCTTGTCTTTGCTTTTGTTTTGCTTGTGTGTGTATTTGCATTCTGGCATCGGTGTGTCTATGTGTGTGTGTGTGTTTGGATCAGCTGCAGCTAAAACCCATTGCATTCTGATTGAAAAAACCCAAAGTGGACTTCACAAATACAGTTTATAATGCAGATACTTTAATAATCAATCTGTTATGTTTGTGTGAGTCATCAGATTATCAGTTTATTAAAAAGAATTTTTTGAATATATCTATTAGGACAAATAAAAAATATATTCGTATATTACTTAAGCTATCTGATAGATCAAATTAATATTTAAAAGATATTTATCAAAATCGTAGTACATATCCTTACAACTATACAATTCTTTTCGTTTTTACTTTATCATTTATCGTTGAGCGATTATGAAAATAAAAAAAAAAAACGTTTTCAATTTGATTTATAAAGCCGATAGACCTTTGATATACACTGCCATATCATGTGCTCGGTAAGAGTAAGAAGCAGCCGAGACAGCATTTTGAAAGTGAAAAGTTCAAAACAGCACAAAGTGCAACCCCCTCATCCCCAATTAACCCTCTTTTTCACCCCCTTTTGAAGGTTTTGCCACTTTGGAAATTTGTTTGCTGCTAATTAGAGTGCGGCACTCTGATTACACACACACACACACACACACACATAAGTTTACCTTGTAGGGAAAATGTGTAGAAAAAGACGAAGATACTTTGTTTGATAAAAACAAAACGACAAGAACAACTTAAAAATAGGGAAAAGCGTTTGCTCACGTCATGCTACAAAAAAAAAACAACATGTATACATTAAAAAACAGGGCAAAAAAACATAAGGGGGTTAAGCCCTGTAAAAGGAGAGATCCACGTAAGAGTTGTGCCACCCATATAATAATTCCACATACGAGTATATTAGTGTTTTATAATTAGATAAAAAGATACTTAGATAGAGTTGCAATTGCACATTCATTTTAAATTTCAAAGTTTCAGTTAAAACTTGAAGTATTTTATTGATTTCCCTTTAGTTAAATTTTATGATATTGACACAAAAGCAACCGATTAATATGAATCTGGGTAAATATGTGTACTATCATACATAATATGAGTTGGCAAAAAAAAGCGATGGTAAACAAAGATCTCACCATCAAATTTTGGTGGTTTTTTTGCTTTATGCCAATGTGACATCCTCATCAACAGAACCCATCGTCATCGACATCAGACGTCGGTTCACTTGGCTAACCAAAAAGTGGGCGCTGCATTTTACACTTGAACGCTTTTGTCATTCGGGTTAAAGTGCAAAGGAGGGATGTAAAGAGTGGTCGGAAAATGAGGAGGGTGTGGAGAAAGCGAAGGTTCTATATAAAAAGAGGTTTCCATTTTTTTGTATATACTTTTTTGCTATATATGTGCAAACACTCAGCTTGATTGATTTATGCATGCAAACTACGAGAAAAATAGCAACAGCAGCAGAACCAGAATAAGAGGTTTCAAGAACACAAAAAAAAAAAAATAATAATAAAGAAAAAGTACAGGAGAAGGTCAGCATGAAAACTGTATCGGCTCTATATATTTTATTTTTGCTACTTTTGCTATTTTTACCGGTAATTTTATTAAGTTAAGACTGCTCATCTCATCTTTGCCAGGCATCAAGCCTCTCTATTTATTTTATATTTATCGATAATCAGAACTTGATAATACAAAAAGTTGTAAATTAGTAATTTTAGGATTTTTTTTTTGGTAAGAGTCTAAAAGTTTTAGCCTAATACTTTGGCTGATTGATTTTAATTAATAGTAGAATTTTAAAGCATAGCTGGTTATCGAGAATCGAAATCTTTTCTTGATCATTGATCAATAAATTATACTTTTTCTGTAATTTTACATGAGTTTTTGAGATTACTTTATGGGTTTGGTCCTTTTTTATTGTTATTTCATTATTTAATTTCATATATTTTATGATTATAATAAAAAATCCGAAAGAAAAAAAATGATATTGAGACTAGCTAGTAAACTTTTCCTTCTTACACCGATGTTCTCTATTTTTCTATCTCTCGCAATTCTCCATTTTCTATCTCTCGTTCGTTTTTCAGCGCGTGCTGATTGCATTTATGTCAACGTTCGTTTTCAATGTTAAAAGTCGTACTCGAATTATACGGGGGGGTGGTGGTGGCATACATGCAGGGTCGTTGAAAAAAAAAAAAAAAAAAATAGAGAGAAAACTAGAAGGCTGGGGTGTTTGGAGAATTAGGGGGCTTACATGGATAAAACGAAACGAAAATTATGCATAAAAAGTGGCATAAAAATTGCATTTCGTTGCCTCTGCAATTCTCCGTATCTCACTTTTGCTCTCTGATTCTCTCTGTATATCACCATCTCTTTCTTGCCATATGCAGCAACAAACATGTCCAAACACGCACACTTTCATACAATGACTGACTACATTCGCCCATGTGCATGTGTGGACTTGTGTACAATGTAAATGGTAAACGCAATAACAACAAAATAGCAGGTACAATGGATAGAAAAACGTTGGAATTTCTAGTGTAAAATGTTGAGCAAAGTAAAGATATTGTACAATATTTAAAAAACAAATCTTAAAAAGTTTTAGTTCATAGCATTATATGTTTATTTAATGCTTTCAAAATAAATTTATAAATATTTGTTTTTGATTTTAGAATTTTATAAAAACTCATAATCTTTGTGGTTTGGTTTTCTCACAAAAATAAGTACCATAAATAAACATACACATATGTACATAGTTTCATAATATATAGATTTTTGAAAACCATTTTAGTTTAGTTACCCCACTGTACCGTTGTCCGTATAGTACTGAAAACAACAACACGTGAGCAACAACAATCAGACATTGATGATGGGGCAAGCCCATATAATCAAAGTCGGGAGAGTCAGAGTCAGGGCTTAGTGGCTGGGCAATCAGTCAGTCAGTCCGTCAATCAAGCGGCTATATATAGTCTCAAAAACTGCATTCACCCACACACTGACACATACTGTATCAGAGCGAGACGGGACTAGTTTTGGGTGTGGAAAAGAGAAGGCGAATAAGTTGACCTGTCAAGTTCATGCTATATTCATTGCATTCAATTGAAGGCGCATTGTAGGAATAATTTGAAGCTTTTTGCTTGTGAATAATCTGCGGAAAAAATGACACTACATAAATTAATAAATGTAACTGTTTTTTTTTTTTTAGTTTAGTAATAAAAAAGTGTAGTCACCTTTATGTCTACTTTTTGTCGTTTTCTTACTTAAAAAGTTCTTAATAATAATTAAAATCAGTAAATTATTCAGTAATATTGTTTGTATTTTGATATCTTAAATAAATAAATTGTAATTTTAAAGATGTTGATAAAATGTTGTATTACGGAAAAATTTCATATCTTAATTTTTGTCGAAAAAATTGTCTGTATATTTCATACAGAAATGGAAATAATGATCTGATTATAGAATGTCATATATCCCTGAAATCGTAATAAAAATTCTAACAAAACTGCATTCACGGATAAAAATGTAAAATTTTCGCAGTTTTTCGGAAATTTTGATGATGTTACCCCTTACAGAAAATGCGAAAAATTGACAAAAAATTAATTTCTCAAAATGAACCACAAAATGATATGGGTGGAAAGGTGAGGTCGTAAGCTGTTTAAATCAGTCAATTATTTCGCTATAGGTCCCTTTTTAGTCAACTTATTGCATTTAAAGATTAAAAAAGTCACATTATGGCGGTTTTTATCTTTACCCGTTACCAAATATAAAGAAATAGTTAAAAAAAAGGATTTTTCAGAATCAGCAGAAATCAGAATTTGGTCGTTTACTTCACTAACTTATTTCAATAAATCCAACATTGTAGCTTTTTATTTATACAAAAGTAAACAGCAAACAAATAAATAAATAAATAATCATATAAACCAATTGACCTTTATAATATGTTATTTATAAATTATATTGACCTTATTTCAACATTTTTATCAGAGTTATCTCATAATATCTTATCTTATTTTGTAAGTACCTTTAAGATTAAATCGAGTAACTTGTCAGAAATTTTGCCTTTCTCTTGATTGATGTCTGCGATTACGAAGCTCTCACTTCTGATTGATGTTTAACTCTTTGACGACCCTTGTTGCCTCCTCAACCCATTCTTTTTTTTAGTCCTGCTTGAAAACTTTTTTCCGAGCAGGATTTGCAGGGTTTCAGTTGTTGTTTTTTTTTTTTTTGGGTGGATATCTTTGTTGGCTTCTTCAATTTAAATTTCATTTCCCGTTTAAAGTTATTTTTTTTGCGGGGTTAGGCTTAGGACTTGAAACCAGCTGTCGCCTTCAGGGGTTATCAAAAGTGTTTGGTTACTCCTGTTCTTTGTGTTTGTTTACACTTGTGAATATTTCATGTGCACTTACTCATCCTCCGTTTCTTCCCCCGCCCATTACAGCTGTCGGAAGAGGAAGCAGAGAAGGAAAAAGAAGAAGCAAAAGCAGAAGAACAGTCAATTTGAAGACTATTCTTCTCACTAGCCAGCGTTATTTTCGTTTTTCGCCATTCAATGTGATTGGGTAAGTTTTTTTCATTAAATATTCTTATTTAAAAATCCTTTTTATCTGATAAGATTTCACTGAACTATTATTTTTTAGAATTAGAATTTCACAATCCTGCGATGTATTTCCACGATTTTCCCTGATATAGAGTAGGGTATTTTATAAACTTATGGGTTACCCTTTCTTACACTCTAGTCTTCATGTCGTTTATTATTTACCCTAGTTTTTTGTTTATTAATTGAAATTCTTTGGAATGCCAGAAGTCGAAACACTTGCATCGTAACCTGGCACTTGTTTCGATTATATATATAAATGTATACATAAATATGGGATCTACTAAAACGAAAGGGCGAAATGAAAAAAAAAAGAGAGAGGAAGGGTTGCATTACTTATACGCCACGTTGTGCAGCCGCTCACTTTATTTACTTACCTTTTTTTAGTCCAACCGCTTTTTGGCACGCATTTTTTGTGTGATTTGTTGCCAACTGAACTGTTTTTTGTGAGCTTCTTTTTGTTTTATTTTTGTTTGAGTCAGTCAGTCGTTATGTGGGCTTATAAAAAGGGATTGACGGCTAAAAGGGGGATTGACGTGACTGCGGGGGTCGAAAAAAACAAAACCAAATTTGAGTTGCCCTGGCACTTTGACTAATAATCAAAAAAAAAAAAATAGTCCAATTGTCGAAATTTCAATTACGTGTAATGGAAACTTAAATTATCGTGAAAATGGAGGCATTTCGCTTGTCAATCAATGGAATTGTAATTTTCGAATACACAAAATAGGTAAAATTTTTTCAGTATAGTTAGTTAATAAGTTCGCCTTTAAGTTGGCTTTAATATTTGTGTACGTTGAGTATGTTGTTATTCTCGGATGAGCTCATCCTCATCTCCGTTTGCAATGTCCCTAATTGCCTTTTGACCACATTCGAGCTTTCACCCACAAACACGTGTGGTTGGTTGCCAGAGTTGCATGTTGCAGCATCTTGGTCCTCTTCTTAGCCATATCCCTTAACCCCTAAACTGAAACCAACTAATTAGCCCATGGCCCAGGCGGCAAGAAGGTAGAAGGTCTCAAAATGGTGGTGGTAAGTTTAGGAGGAAAAGTCATGAGTGAAAAGGAAATCCAGGACAGCTTTCTCTTTCTCTCTCTCTCTCGCTCTGCATCCCTTTGTGTCAACATGTTGCGGCAACAAATTGTTGCACTGTTATTGTTGTTTTCATTAGTTATGGCTCTCCTGTTTTCATTCACTTGTTTGCTCGCCTTCTCTTTCTCTCCTTTAAGCCCGGTTTTTCTCGCCGCTTTGTGCTTTTTGCTTCCATTATGCTCTTGCACACTCTCTTTTCTTGCTGCGCCGCCGCTTTTGACCATTTGTCTTCCGGTTTTTTCCACTTGCAGCTTGTTTTGCTCTCCTTCTGGCTCTCTTTCTGATACCCTTTCCATTTATTTGCAAACTCGAATTTTCCAACAACTTTTCTATAAGTTATGTTTATATATTTATAATATTCAAAGTATTGTGGGAAAACAAATACAATATAGACGAATTTTTTTATAAGTAAATAATATTGATCAAAAATTATAACATTTTATTTTTATGGATTCATTTGTTGTCCTGTTTTCTACTTTTTTCATGATGTTAGCACTTCATGATTATAATAATGTGTTAGACCAGCTTTTTTCATTGTTGTTTGTTTGTGTTAATGTATTATTTATTGCCGTTTCTCAGCTTCTTCCCCATCTTCTCCGGCTAAGTTAACATCCTGGCAACGCACCTGCGCCTTATTTTTTTGCGTCGCATTTTCCTTTCGCTTTGTACTCTCTTTCGTCATCCTGGTTGTGGTGTGCTTCTCTCGCACTCGGTCTCTTTAAAACTTGCTCCGCTCACCCGGTTTTCTGCAAGCCCTCCTCTCTCTCTCTCACTCTCTTTCTGTTTAGCTCCTTTCTTTCTCATTATTTTTATGTCAAAATCGCCCACGTTGTTTTCCTCTTCGCGGTCGCTTGTTTGTGTGTGTGTATCGAACTCCAATTAGAGTTTGTCTCGCCTACCTCTCCTCCATTTCCTTGATTTCCGTTTTGCGCCGTCATGCACTTCGAACTCTTCACTTTTTGTACTGCACCTGCCCCTTCTCTTTCTTTAGAAACCTCTTGCACACCCTTCTTTACTCCTGTCTTTTGCATAGTCTTGTCTTCGTAGCTTCTAATGAAACAATCAGAAGGACGAAACAAGGAGTGAAGAATTGTCGGTATAAAGAATTCAAGAGGAATGAGTAAAAAAATTCTAAGAGAAGTGTAAGAAACGAAGAATCTCAAAATGAGGGTAAACAAGTTTTAGGACCTTTTCTTGTCCTAGTCCAAGACAATCCAGTTAAAAGTAATCACAAACAGTGAGAAAAATAAGCGTCTTCAAGGTTTCGTATTCTCTTTTTGTTTCTTCCCATCCATTAATTCTTCGCATTCATTCTTTCAGAGTAAACCTTCATCGGCAGCTTTGTCGAAGCCTTAATGAAATATTAAGATTGTAAAAAAGCAATTTCGTAAATGCAATAACAGTGTTTTTTAATATAAAATAATAACAAAACAAAAAATTATATATATGAAGTGATCAGTAGATTATCCTTGTCTATCTGCCAAGTTCTCTATTCTTATAGAGTAGAATGTTACTTTGTATCAATTCTTTCTAAGTGGAATTAAGAACTTGTCTTTTGCTATAGTTTTGTCATGCCCAATTCCGTCCTTTATTCCAGTAGCCATTGGGGCTCTCCGCAAACACATTTCCTGATCTGGTCCTCCAGATTCGTGAGGTCATTCAACAATTCCTGGCACAATTTGTCATGCGATGGGCATCCTTGGCAAATTTCACCACCGGGTCCACATGGCTTGCAACCACAGCCAGGCTTTGTGGTGGGTCTTTGAGTAGTGGGCCTAATAGTGGTGGGACTCTTCGTTGTGGGATTCTTCGTGGTGGGGTTCTTCGTGGTGGATTTTTCAGTGCAGGTTGTCGATTTCGTAGTTCCTTGAGTGGTGGGCCTATGAGTGGTGGGGTTCCTTGTGGTGCTTTTTTCGGTACAAGGTGTCGATTTGGTTGGTCTTTGTGTGGTGGGGTTCTTGGTGGTTGACTTCCTTGTGGTGGTTTTTTCGGTACAAGGTGTTGATTTGGTTGGTCTTTCCGTTGTGGGTCTTAGAGTGGTGGGGTTCTTGGTGGTGGACCTTCTTGTAGTCGTTTTTTCAGTGCAAGGTGTTGATTTGGTGGGTCTTTGTGTGGTGGGATTCTTGGTGGTGGACCTCCTTGTAGTGGTTTTTTCAGTGCAAGGTGTTGATCTGGTGGGTCTTTGTGTGGTGGGATTCTTGGTGGTGGACCTCCTTGTAGTGGTTTTTTCAGTGCAAGGTGTTGATCTGGTGGGTCTTTGTGTGGTGGGATTCTTGGTGGTGGACCTCCTTGTAGTGGTTTTTTCAGTGCAAGGTGTTGATTTGGTTGGTCTTTGGGTAGTGGGGTGCCTTGTGGTGGTTTTTTCGGTACAAGGTGTTGATTTGGTGGGTCTTAGTGTCGTGGGATTCTTGGTGGTGGACTTCCTTGTGGTGGTTTTTTCGGTACAAGGTGTTGATTTGGTTGGTCTTTGTGTGGTGGGATTCTTGGTGGTGGACCTCCTTGTAGTGGTTTTTTCAGTGCAAGGTGTTGATCTGGTGGGTCTTTGTGTGGTGGGATTCTTGGTGGTGGACCTCCTTGTAGTGGTTTTTTCAGTGCAAGGTGTTGATTTGGTTGGTCTTTGGGTAGTGGGGTGCCTTGTGGTGGTTTTTTCGGTACAAGGTGTTGATTTTGTGGGTCTTAATGTGGTGGGATTCTTGGTGGTGGACTTCCTTGTGGTGGTTTTTTCGGTACAAGGTGTTGATTTGGTTGGTCTTTGTGTGGTGGGATTCTTGGTGGTGGACTTCCTGGTGGTGGTTTTTTCGGTGCAAGGTGTTGATTTGGTTGGGCTTTGGGTAGTGGGGTGCCTTGTGGTGGTTTTTTCGGTACAAGGTGTTGATTTGGTTGGTCTTTGTGTGGTGGGATTCTTGGTGGTGGACCTCCTTGTAGTGGTTTTTTCAGTGCAAGGTGTTGATTTGGTTGGTCTTTGGGTAGTGGGGTGCCTTGTGGTGGTTTTTTCGGTACAAGGTGTTGATTTGGTGGGTCTTAATGTGGTGGGATTCTTGGTGGTGGACTTCCTTGTGGTGGTTTTTTCGGTACAAGGTGTTGATTTGGTTGGTCTTTGTGTGGTGGGATTTTTGGTGGTGGACTTCCCTTGTGGTGGTTTTTTCGGTGCAAGGTGTTGATTTGGTTGGGCTTTGGGTAGTGGGGTGCCTTGTGGTGGTTTTTTCGGTACAAGGTGTTGATTTGGTGGGTCTTTGTGTGGTGGGATTCTTGGTGGTGGACCTCCTTGTAGTGGTTTTTTCAGTGCAAGGTGTTGATTTGGTTGGTCTTTGGGTAGTGGGGTGCCTTGTGGTGGTTTTTTCGGTACAAGGTGTTGATTTGGTGGGTCTTAGCGTGGTGGGATTCTTGGTGGTGGACTTCCTTGTGGTGGTTTTTTCGGTACAAGGTGATGATTTGGTGGGTCTTTGTGTGGTGGGATTCTTGGTGGTGGACCTCCTTGTGGTGGTTTTTTCAGTGCAAGGTGTTGATTTGGTTGGTCTTTGGGTAGTGGGGTGCCTTGTGGTGGTTTTTTTCGGTACAAGGTGTTGATTTGGTGGGTCTTAGTGTGGTGGGATTCTTGGTGGTGGACTTCCTTGTGGTGGTTTTTTCGGTACAAGGTGTTGATTTGGTTGGTCTTTGTGTGGTGGGATTCTTGGTGGTGGACCTCCTTGTAGTGGTTTTTTCAGTGCAAGGTGTTGATTTGGTTGGTCTTTGGGTAGTGGGGTGCCTTGTGGTGGTTTTTTCGGTACAAGGTGTTGATTTGGTTGGTCTTAATGTGGTGGGATTCTCGGTGGTGGACTTCCTGGTGGTGGCTTTTTCGGTACAAGGTGTTGATTTGGTTGGTCTTTGTGTGGTGGGATTCTTGGTGGTGGACTTCCTTGTGGTGGTTTTTTCGGTACAAGGTGTTGATTTGGTGGGTCTTAAAGTGGTGGGATTCTTGGTGGTGGACTTCCTTGTGGTGGTTTTTTCGGTACAAGGTGTTGATTTGGTTGGTCTTTGTGTGGTGGGATTCTTGGTGGTGGACTTCCTTGTGGTGGTTTTTTCGGTGCAAGGTGTTGATTTGGTTGGGCTCTGGGTAGTGGGGTGCCTTGTGGTGGTTTTTTCGGTACAAGGTGTTGATTTGGTGGGTCTTTGTGTGGTGGGATTCTTGGTGGTGGACTTCCTTGTAGTGGTTTTTTCGGTGCAAGGTGTTGATTTGGTCGGTCTTTGTGTGGTGGGATTCTTGGTGGTGGACCTCCTTGTGGTGGTTTTTTCGGTACAAGGTGTTGATTTGGTTGGTCCTTGCGTTGTGGGATTCTTAGTGGTGGACTTCGTTGTGGTGGTTTTTTCGGTGCAAGGTGTTGATTTGGTTGGGCTTTGGGTAGTGGGGTGCCTTGTGGTGGTTTTTTCGGTACAAGGTGTTGATTTGGTGGGTCTTTGTGTGGTGGTATTCTTGGTGGTGGACTTCCTTGTGGTGGTTTTTTCGGTGCAAGGTGTTGATTTGGTTGGGCTCTGGGTAGTGGGGTGCCTTGTGGTAGACTTCGTTGTTTCAGTGCAGGGAGTCGATTGCGTGGTTCTAGGAGTGGTGGGCTTTGGAGTGGATGGGTTCTTTGTGGTGGACTTTCTTGTAGTGGACTTTTCAGTGCATGGTGTAGATGCGGAGGTTCTATGAGTTGTCTGTTTTGTTGTTACAGGTTGTTTAGTGGTCTGATCTGTTGTGGCCGGCTTTTTAGAGGTGGTTTTTTGGGTTGTGCTTTCATGACAGGGCTGTGGAGTCGAAGAACAGCCACAGGGTGGTGCTGTCGTTTGACAGCCACAGGGTGGTGCTGTTGTTTGACAGCCACAGGGTGGTGCTGTTGTTTGACAGCCACAGGGAGGTGCTGTCGTTTGACAGCCACAGGGAGGTGCTGTCGTTTGACAGCCACAGGGTGGTGGTGTCGTTTGACAGCCACAACCACACGGCGGAGAAATGATTATTTCACATGGCGAAGACGAACAACCTATTAGCAAGAAGCTCGCTAATCGAAGCAAAAAACAAAAATAATCAAAACGAATGATAGTATTACGAAATATAAGTACCAATCAGAAAACCAATGGTGATCCTCATTTTGGTCCTGGTGTTCCTTCAGCTAAATAACTTGTCACCGGATGGTGCTAAGCCAGAACTGATAACTTATCTGGCGATCCCATGCCATTATATAGCGTCCCTTTGGAACGCGACAAGTGTCCTAATATAAATAAAATTGGCTTGTACAAAGAAAGCCAGTGCTTAATAATAGTCCAGACATTTGCATAAGCTCAGGTCAAGTCGAGAGATGTATGCTATTGGCCTTTAATATTAAACGTGTCGTCGTAAGTTCTATTTTTATTGCCTTTTGTTTAAAGAGATGTTTTATTTTTAAATTACATGACTTAATGTTAATGAACAGTTTCACGGGAAATTGTTAAATGTAAAAAGGATGTTTCGATTAAAACTTTGAAATTATACCATGGCATCTTTATATTATTTATATCTTTTCCCATATTTTGGAAGAATTTTTTAGGGGTCAATATTAAAAGTAATGCTCTAACATTTTGACACAATTTATATGAGTTGTTTACAAAACCGTTTGTGGTTAAAAAGATTCAGCAATTAATTAAACACCTAATATTCTAATGTTATTCCAAAAACAGTGTTTTTTAACCTCTTCCTTCCGAAGGCTGCAAAAAACCAAATCCGAAATTGTAAATTTTGACCTAGAAATGCGAGCGCACAAAAGCCAAAAAAAAAGCGCTGAAGATAAAGCTGAAGGGGCAGAGGAAGCTGATGAACAAGGTACACTGGGGGGGGAAAAGGTAATGGAGGCAAAACGCAGAGACCCAAAAAAGTACAATGAACCCTTGACAATTGCTGTCGTTGTTGTTGTTATTGTAGCTTCTTCTGGCTCGGCAACATTGTTGCTTTCTCGTCCTCTCTGCTCCCACCTACATCTTTGTCCAACACCCCCTCTCTCTTTAACACATAGCTTCTTCTAGAAGGAACAAAAAAGAAAGAAAATTATGAAAACAAACAATTTGCTGTGCGCGATGTTGCTGCTGCTGTGCGCGATGATGTTGCTGCTGTGGCACGCTGCAACTTTTGCCCGGGGCCCAGGTTTTTTGGACAGCAAGAGCTGGCCATGCATATCAAAACAAGTTCCGTTCCACACAAATGCCAGCACGTTTCGAAATTGCCGACGTCGACGCATCATAACAATAACAAAAGCCCCAACCAGACACACCAGCAACATCGACAGCAGCAATAGCAGCAGCAGAGGGAGAAACAGCAACACCAGCAGCAGCATAAGCGAGCAAACAATTAATCTGGAAGCCCACAAATACTATATAAATTCTGTATAAGATGCTATCGAACGGTGGGGCTATATCGACCCCAGTTATCAAAGACCCCTAAAGGATTATAATATAATTAAATAATTTTAAATTTAAATGTAAATTAAAAAACGTAATGGTATTCTTTTTAGTCATTGTCCACTGTATATGTGCATGAAATAGTGCAATACCAGTGGCAGCGAAGTCGGCTGAGGCAGAGACTGCAGCAAAAGGGGGTTAAAAAAAAATGGGGGGGAGAGGTGTTAAAGGGATGGGCCAAGGGAGGGGAGGTAGGAAGCAGCGGAAAAGTTGCCGTGGAAGAAACAATGACGCAGCAACAGCGGCAAAATGCGAATGAGAATCAAAATGAGAATGCGAAAGAGAATGTGGAGCCCAGGATAGCAATGAAGAAGAAGAAAGCCTCTACAGCTTCTCGGGGTGATCCTTAGAAAAAATAAGAATATTAGGTAATGATGTTATTATACTTATTAATATAAAGTATTGTTAAGAAAAGAATTAACTAACATATGTGCATACATATGTATGTACCGATATTTCCTATTTGTTTTTATTGAATAATTATATTTTTTTAGTTATTGGTCCGCCCTAAAGTTCTTGGGTATCTTTGGTATGTACAGACATATCGACAATTACACAGTGCTGTTGTTATTATTGTTATTTTCTTCCTGTTTCGCTATGCACAAGCGCAAGAAAATCAACAGAACAAACGGACAAACAGGCACAACAACACCTATATTCAGACATCCAAACAGGCGTGCTTTCCGATAGTTGCGCTCACTAAAATAGTGACAAATTTTAAATATAATATTAAAAATGTATTAAAAATTTGTGTTGCTACTATTTTGTCAACTACTGTATTTCCAACGCGTCACGTGCGCTCTCTTCACGTCGTTCTCTGTGCGCTGCTTCTGCCTAGCAGTGCCTCTCTCGTTCGGTCTCTTTTGGGTTGCAGTCGTCTGTGCGTTTTTCCATTGGTTTTGTTGCTGCCTTGCGAATGCTGCGACTGCGGCGCCGGCATCGACCGTGGCAGAGGTAGCGCAGTCGGGCTGGCAAAGTTAAAGTTAAAATTGAGCGGCGGCCGCATTTAGTTTGCTTCTGTCATTGCATTCGGCGGGTAGGATCACAAGAAACAAGAAATAAGGAACGAGAATAAGAAAACATCAAAAATCACAAGAAACCGAAACAGACAAAACGTACAACAAAAAAAGCTAGAAAAACTAACAAAAAATATCACGTTTGCCTTTATTTTTTTCACGTTTAAGTGCAATCATATAAAGAAGAAACAGAAACAAGAAGAAGAGCAGCGGAGTGCTTAATAATTTCTAACGGTAAATAGTGAGCAAAATTTCTAGGTGTAAAGTGCAAAACGAAAAGTTTTCTGCAAGTGTGTGTATGTGAGTTGTTGTTTTTTCATTTACTTTGCATCTGTATTTCATGGTGAATTTTTTTTGCTTTTGAATTTGTATTTTTGGCTTTGTTTCTCTTTGTGTTTTTTTTGCCTTTAGCTTGCTTGCATTCATCTATCTGTTTTAATTTTTCTATACATATAATATGTTTAATACATTTTTCCGAGTGACGTTGTTATTCTTATTTTTTGAAATTTTTTCCAATTTGCTAATACTCATTTTACACTTTTGTTTGTTTTTATTTGTTTTGAATTTGCCCTCATTTACTTTGCGTTTAAATTGTTTTTCTGCTTTTCATAGTGTGTGTTTGTTTGTTTGCTTTTAAGTATGTGCATACCATTTTGCCCTTATTTGCCTTGCTTCTTTTCAATTTATATACATTTTAACTTTGTTATTTTAAAGAAATATCTTTTTAAACTTAGTATTACTTAAATATTTAAATTTTTGCAAATAACAAACATTTATTTCCTATTCGTGTAGTGTATTTATTTCGACAATGTCGAGAGACCCGTTCTTCAGCTTTTTTGTTGTCTTGCTTTGGTTTTGTTTTTAGCATGTGCCCTTTTTCGTGAGAGTGAAAGAGAGAGGGTGGGGTTTTCTTTTGCTTTTGTTGTTTCTCGTTTTTCTCCACGCCATCTGCCATGCACACACAAATAACAAAAACAAGAACAATTTTACAGTGGAGCGCGTGCTTTTTTCTGCCGTCTCTACCACACCATTCGCCCCCACATACGCAAGCTTACCCAATAATTACGACTCTCTTAACTGGCTCCCTTAATGTTGCGGCGCCTCTCTTACGTCGCCTTACTCTCGCGTTTTGACCGCTCTATCTGCTGCCTTGGCATTTTCATCCATTCGTTTTGCCGTTCTTCTCATTTTACGTTGTTTAGCCGTAGCGTGCGCGTCGCAGTCGCAGTCGCCGTCGCCGCAGACGTCACACTCTGAAAGTTGCGTCAGTTCACAAAAAAAACCTTAAAACAAAAAATAAAAAATTTAAAAAAAAAAATATACTCACATTTTTTTCAAGTTTTTAACCAAATTGGTTCAAAGTGCATGACAACAGTTTATAAAGTAGGTGGAAATACAAGAGAAAAAATAAGAAATGCATGAGTATTAGTGCTAACTCGTCACCTTGTTTGTGTGTGTGTTGATTTTATTTTTTATAATTTAAAGAACATTTTTCCATTGAAATTCATTCATTTCTCTTGGGATAACATAAACCTGTGATGCATTGCAAAAAAAAAAATGTATTTAAAAGTAACTATAGTTAATTATTAAATATTAAAAAAGGGGAAATTTAAAGAATAAATTGTAATTCTTATTGGATTTTATTGGAATTTCTCATTGTTTTACCAAAATATGCATTTACTGTAATTATTCACTGTTATTATTCACTGAAAAATAAAAAATAAAAAGAGCTACTCTATTAAATATATTTGAACCTCTAAAAAAATTAAAGACATAATTTGCAAAACACACAAAAAAAAAACGTTTTTTCATTTTCGGCTATTTTTAAACAGGCAAAAAGGATTTTTTTTCTTGATTTTATTTTTTGCACGCTTCATCACTCTTCATTTCAAAATTAGCAACAAAAACACATGACGAAAATCGCCATCAAAAAGGAAATGCAAAGAAAGTGCGTAAAGTGGGGGAGAGCGATAAAGAAAAAGAGAAGAAGTGTGGAAAAAAAAGAGAGCTTTGAAATTACGGGGCATAAGAACGTATCTTTTTTTTTTTTTCTGTTTTTGTTGTCTGTTGCTTATGTTCTGCCTTCTTTTTGATTTTCCACTTCTTTTGGCCTGCTCTTTCGAAGTGACCTTTTTATTTTGTATGTTTTGTTTTTTTTTTGACTAAAATAATTTTTGTTCTTTGACGCAAGTGCCTTATTTTAAAAATGTTTCCCGAAATATTGTTTGTTGAATGTTTAATTTACTGAATTTTAAGTAGAAAAGTGTGATAAGATTAAACTGATATCTGAGTTCTAAAAATTACCTTAAAAAGGATTGAATTTCCTTTTTCTCAGATTACAGATCTCTCTTTCATTTTTTCTTTGGTCAAATCAACCGCAAAATGTTCCATTAATTGTTCGCCTTTTATTTTTCCGCCCCGTCCTCTTTTCCATTTCAACTTTTGCATTTTGACTTTTGAGTTTCAGCTGAGCGTTTTATGTGATTATTGGTTGGGGAATCTCAATCACTTCTCGTGTGTGCAACAACCCCTCTTTTCAAGTCCTATTCCGGTTTTTGTCCCATAAAGGTTTACCTTTGATTTGCTTACCCTTTGTATTTTCCCTTTTGATTTTTACATGCACAGGAGAACCTCTTTAATGGTGAACTTTCGGAATATTACTATTTCTAAAGATATATATTCTTTCCGAGAAAGACTCAAACAAGTAACTTTATATCTTTCTTATCAACAACTGGAAATTTATTTTTTTAAGTTAAATATTGTATAAAATTGTATATTTATTTGTACATTATTTATTCATGTTTTATCTCTATCCTTTTGTTGTTTGCTGTAGGTAGGACCTACTGTCCTTTATTTCTTTCACACGCTAGCCAAGAAAGCTGGTGAAGAAAACCTGACAATGGGACATATACCCTATAGGGAATTTTGGAAAATATAATGACGACCCTTGGCCCTAGTCCTGAAAACTGCGAACCTTTGGGGTGGAATTTCCCCCACCTTCTAGACCCACTCTCTTTGGGTTCTCTTTATTCCCTTTTATTTTTGGGGTCGGTTTCTGTTTTGCGTTTTCAGGTACAATATACTTGTATATATTATACATATATTGGGTTCTCGAGTTTCCAAAAAAAAAAAAAAATATATATGTTCAAATGCAGTGTGAGGTTGCGTGGGTGTCTCAGTCAATTACTGCGATTTTTTTTTACTTGTTTTGTTCTTCGTGCCATTTAAAGCGATTTCGATTTGAATATTTAATAGAATTTGCCACGCGCCGCAGGCTTCCTCACCCATTTCTCATCCTCTCTTCGTCGTCTTTTGTTTTTGCTCTTACCTTAGTTGACAACGAACATGCCACCCCGTAAAACAAAACAAATGACGATAATAAAAGTAGAACGAAGCTTTTTATACCCCTAAAAGTACATTTTACCCATCTATTTATAATGGTAACATTTAACAAAAATTTGTTACTTTGATGGAGAAACTTCAGAAATATCTTAAATGATAATATGCATTCGATATAAGAAGTATCTATCTATCTATCAATACGGAAAATGTATCTTAAAGATGTATCTTCTTTTATTGGTTTGATTAGGATAATGCATCAAGGTATAATATGCTTATATCAGTATATAGTAAATCAATTAGGGGATTAAGATACTATTTCAAAAATCCCCTGGAAAAGTTAATACCCTCTATAGTCAAGAATATTGCTGTAAAGTGAGGGTGTAGTCAGATAATGAGGGGTGTGAATTTGTATGGGTGAATATGGGGGTGGCGATTCAAAGCGTGTTTAATGTCAAGGCAGCGTCATTCAAAGGACTTTTTGCCATATCCACAAAGCTCTCTTCAATTATTTTCCCCCAATTTGTGTTTCTCTTCAAAAGTAAAAGAGTAGATAGAGAGCAGCTGCAGAGGCAATAATGTAATAAAGCCGGCTGCAATTCTCTATAGCCCTCTCTCTTTCTCGCGAGCGACCCTTGACCTTTTATATGAATTATGACAGCAACAACAAACACAATGCAACATTATTTTCACTCAATGCTTTTGCCGCTCAGTTGAATGCCCCACACATACATTGAAGACCAGCAGCTGACGGAAGATGAAATGGAAAAAGGAGAAAGATATGGGGAAACGATGGGGTGCAAAGGAAGGGGCGGAAAGAGAAGAGGCCTGCGCGCACGCGCCAATATTCCCTTTTCTTTGTTCTTGTTTCCCCTTTATGATTTTCTTTGGCCTTTACAGTAAACTGCTTCTTATATAGAAGTATTCTTTAAATTGCAATTTATATTTTTTTTACCTTTCGAAAATATCCATCATTAAATTCAAAAATATATCCTTTTAATCTTTTGTTTAGCTTAAATCAATATCTAAGGTGATAATGAATAAGCTAAAAATTTATATAAAAATTTAAAACTATTTATATTAGATATTCAGACTTATTAAAACTATATTGAGAGTGTCAGATAATGTTTTCAAATTTACTTTATGTTGGTCGATCGTATTGAGGCAGACCTGTTTGTAACATTGATGCCCCTTCAGTTTCCGTTCCTCTCTTTGACTGCAACTTGTTGTTTGGGGCTCTCTCCCGCTTCCTCTTTTTATTTGTTATTTTTCTGTCTTTTGTTTTTTTTCTTTTCTGTTTCTGTTGCTGCCACGCAGCTGTGCACAATTAGCGCAAACGCAACAGCTGCTGACGTCGGCGTTGACTGCGCTGTTCAGCTGGCAGCAGAACAGAAAAAAAACAAATAAAATGTATAGTTTAACAGTCGTCCAATTCGGGCTTATTACCAATTATAGATGTCAAACTAACCTTATTTATTGCTCGATTTGGTGACCTTTTTATTTGTGGCGTTGCGTGCTTAATATCGTTAGTAAACATAGAAAACGTTCTCGTTCTCTTTCCAATTATGCGGTTTTAAAATCTATACAAATCTACATTGCATTTGGGTTGCAACACATTTTAGCTATAAGTATTCTATAGTAATATTTTTAATTTATATTTTTTAAATATAAAAAACAATTTTTTTTTTCATTTCAGCCTCATCAACTAAAAACATAAAACACCAAAATCAAAACTGTAACCTTAAATAAAACAACATAAGCAAGCAAGAACCACCGAAAACTAAACAGCATCAACAGCGGCAAAAACTCACCAATTTCAACAATTAAATTCAACAACCAGAAGAATCAAAAACAGAACACCCCCCAAAACGCCAACAATTGCAACCATAACTACATATTTTCAAAAATACTTTCTACAATACAAAACCTTTCAACAACAATTTTAGAAAGCTGAAAATTCAACAATAATACCAAATTTTAAGAACTGTTATAAAATATTTGGTAAACAATAGTATCCAAAACGTTCAACAACAATTAATTCCAAAAAATATTCAACAACAATTTTCACAATAACTGTAAAAGTGTCGCGATATAAAGCTGCCTCTATCCTGCTATCTCGCGTATATTCCTATTTACGTAGTGTGCGTGTGTTTTTTTTTCCAACATATATAGTTTTGTTACGATACGTGTTCGTCCTTGTTACGTTCGTGTGTTCGTGTGTCAGTGTGCGAGAGAAGAGGGAGTACGCTAGTTTGTGTATGCTATGTCAGGGATGGGGGGCATTAATTCGCTCCTCCAGGCGGCTAAATTTCTCGAGCAACATGAGAAGCTCCCGCTGGCGGGAGGCGGAGGCGGCATTGGCGTTTTGGGCGTGGCCCTGCCTCAGCAGCAACAGCCGCTGCTCCACTGCAAGAGCATCTCCATTATTAACAACAACAATAGCAGCCAGCACAATAGAAATAGCAGCATCAGCAGTAACGGGATTATTGCAACGCCACCGTTTACGAACGGAAATGGTAACGGGATAGTCGGCATTGGTAACGTGAACGTTAACGTTAATGCTAACTCTAACGTTAACGTCAATGGAAACAACGGTAACGGTGTGAGCAATGGCCACAGCAGTCCGCGCAGTCAATTAGCCGCTGCCCACGATTACGAGTATAATGGCAGCGCAGTCGTTAACGGACACAGCGAAGGTCGCCTCCACATCTCAGGTAAGTCCTCTGAACCTCCGGATTTTCTGACCCTCAGAATTTAAGTTCACATTTTTCCATTACAATTGTTGCAAAAAAACTCACTCATCCATCACTCAAATCATTTCATTTACTGAGTGCTAGGGCAAGGTGTTGCTAAGTTACTGCCCGCTGCGGTGTGAATACGTCGTCTAACGCTTTTCTAGTGCAACAACATCAGCTGCTCTGCTCCACTGTTAAGTGTTGTTGGGCTCTCCCGCCAGGCGTCAAGCGTTTTGAATTCGAAACAAATTATGTACACAAGAAAAAATGTGTTAAATATTTCAGTGCAAGTTTTCGTTTTTTAGACGGTGAAACTTGCGTTGTCTTCGGCATTTTTTTTTTTTAACTAGGATAAACTTAACTCGATTGCCTAGGAAAAATATTCTGCATATATTTGTCCCCTGTGGGTTGTGTGTCGGTGGTGATAGAAAACACCTGAGATAACGTCGCTCTATTTTTGATTGATGAATATTGGAAGGTGTAGCCAAATGGTTGATTGTGGGCGATAACCTCTACTGAACAATTAGGGTACATATATTAACATGAAGTACTTGGGAAAAGAGGGGAAATAAATATAAAATATTCAGGAAACTTAAGAATTATATTTCAATGCATTAGACAAGACTAATTATTAAGAAATTCTTTTAATCTTAATTTAATGAAGAGAAACATATACAATTTTTTTTACCATATACATTTAGCTTTATTTTAAAATTGACATTTTCGTCGCCTTTCCAAAAACGAAACTGTTGCTGCTTTCCCCCCATTGCTTCTGCTACATTTAAACTTGTTTTGACCTTGTTTGCTACGTCGACGTCGACTGCACTTTGCGTGGGCGTGCACTGTACAAAAAAAATAAAATAAAAAATATCAAATAAAATAAGACCCCAAAAGACAACAACACAATGCTCGCTCAGTCGTTTCCTCTCCCTTCCGCTCTCTTTTTGGCACAGGTTGCAAGCGTGGCAAGCAGCAGGTACTGTTATATTTTTAGCACGCTGCTTGCTGAAGCGTCGACGCCGGCGACGCTGCCCAATTGGCATGTGCTAAATTGTCATGATGCGTTTTTGTTTTTAGCCTCTCTTTCGGCGTTTACCTTTGTTTTTGTTGCCTTGACTATCGTATACAAAAATTTGCAACGTCAAAAGCAAAAACCTTGTAGTTTTACTCCTATCGAAATTAAATGTTCAAATTTTTTCAAATTACAATAGAAAAAAATTTTTGTAAAAATATTTTTCAATTTAAAATAAAAATATTATTTTAAAATTATAAAGCAGAGAAAAAATGTAATTTAAAAAAAAATACTAGATCTCGTTGAAAGACTTAGGAGAAAAGCAAAATTATATTTTCGAAACTAAAAAATATGCCCTCTTAAGAGAGCGGCACTGTGTATTTTGTTTTCGTTTGCTTTTGCTGTGCTCATTTCAATTTTTTGGTTTTTCGTTGTTTTTTTTATTTTTTTTTATCAACATTTGTGGATTTTGTTGTTGTTCATCTTGGCTGCCCCTTTTCGTCTGTTGTTTTTTGCGTTGTTTTTTCTTTGTCTTTTTTTCGCTTTTGTCATGCGCTTCGTTCGTATTTTTTCGCACGTACGCTTGTACTTGTTGCTGTTGTTGTTGTTTGGGGTCACGTCATGTGCTGCCTCGCTCTCTCTTTCTTTTGAGCACTCTTTTCCTCGAACAAATTAGTCATAGCACACACAAAAGCAAAAACGAAAGAGAACTCCACGTGAGCGATTTGCGTAAGCTCTTATACATTTCTCTTAAGGCTTCTTTCTGTTTAATCGCTCTCTTTTATTTTGTTACGCTCTCTTAAGCTGCTGGTGTAAAACAAAGTCAATGAACTTTGTACGCATTTTTTGTTATTGTTGTCGGCCTGCCTTTTTCCGTGCCCATTTCATATTATTATTTGGCCTTTCTTTCAGGCTTTTATGTTTTATGTTTGTTTTCTTCACACTTACAAATTTTTATTTCGCCGTTGTTGTTATTTTTGTTTTTTTTTTTTTGTTCGCCGTTGCATGTGTAATATTTGGACAGCTGTCTCTTTTGTTTTGCCTCTCTTTTTCTCGACATCTCCTTTATTTAGTTCCTGTTTTTATCTTACTCTCTTCCTGGTTTTGACTTTTTTTTTTTGTTTTTTGTTTCTGTCTTTTACTTTTCAATTTTTATTGCATTTCAGTTATTTTCCTAATATCACAGAAATTTCATTTTGGGGGAATTCTATTTATATTTAGTGAAAGTTCCCCGAAAATCCAGGGCCATCGAGACTTTTCCTAATAATTGGCTCAAATGTGTGTGAAAAAGTTCAGTTGCTGATTTTCGAAATAACTCTGAATTGGAAAATTCTTTTTGATACAGTTTTTTAAATACTTCTTAAAAGTAATGAAATAAATTTGTTAAAATGATTTGTTAATAATACTATTAGAATATAAGAATAATCTTATTAAAAAGCTCCTAAAAGTGGGCTATAGAAAAACAAGGTGAATGGTGAATAAGACACCCCTTCAAAGATAAAACTATTTCTAAATAGACCCCAATTTCCCTGACGATTCACGGTAATATGTAACGATGTTGGCTGCTTTTCATCCGATTTGCATTATCTCCCTTGAAAATGGAAATTTCCGGCGATTCTTTGATTTTGGTCTCTTTAATTTTCCCATGCCCGGACGTGCTCTTCTTCAAAGTCTCCCACTCATTTGCTGTTGATTCTGGGACCGGAAAACTGAATTTTCCAGCGACATTTGCTTTTCTAGTGAAGCGATGTCGTCGCATCTAGTCGATAACTTAAAGTTTACCGCAACAAAACAACAGCAGCAGAGGGGGGTAATCAACTTATTGCCAAGTTGCTGGAACATTTGAGTGCTTTGCAAAGCTTACTGCTGTTACAGCAGCAGCAACATACTGTTGCACGGCAGAGCAACATCATCATCAAACACACGACTGGGTGAACCACCACCATCATCCATCCAAAAAGAAATAGATATATAGTCATTACGGTTATGGTACATAGAAAGGAATATTTTATAATGAAAAAAAAAAGTTTTTTAATAGAAAATGTTTTTCTTAAAGAATTTATGATTCTTTAAAAATAAGAAGTATTGAATAATATAATAAATACAGAGTTTTTATGAGATGAAACGCAATTCATTTTCCTATTTTCCACAATAAAAAAAACTAATTTTCAGTGTATAAAAGCAAAGTGCTCATGTGTGATATCGTTGGTTAATAAGTGTGCAACCGATGTGTTGTTGCAGCCACGTGCGCTTTCGTCACGTGGCATCGTGATATGGGTGTTGAATAATATGGAAAAGTAGGGGGAAAATGTGGAGAATACATGTGCAGAGAATGCAGAGGGACAGGGTGAAGGGGAAAATGTGAAAGAGTGTGAAAAGGGGCGTTAATCTCCTCAGAAATTTTTTGAATGTCTAAAAGTAAAAGTAAAGAGCTGTCTATTAATTTTTTTTATCGAAGATTTTCAAACAAAAATATATGTATTAAAAGAAAGTCATACTTAGATTAATATAAATGTTATATTTTATTTATTTTTTTGATGCAAAATTTATAAATTTGAAGTTTATACATTAACAAGTTTACTTACAAATGATAAAAGCAATTAAAAGTTTGTTCTATTTTCCTTTTCGAGATCTGTATTCTTTGTCGTTCTAGTTTTTATTCTTCTAGTTGTTTTTTTTTTCTAGTTCTTTTTTTTTTTTCTAGTTTTGATAATTTGTCGTATGTCATTTGATATTGTATTTGAAAACTGATTTCACCATATGCGTTTTATGACCCAATTTGAAATGATAAAAGCAATGCAAGAGAGTAGCAGATATTATATATCAAGGTTATATTTCATATTCATATTCATGTTATTCTAGCTTTTGCCAAATGGAATTGTGTTGAAATTTAACAACTTAGAAAGTTAGTTATAGGCCAGGTTTTATAGTTAAATGGAAAACAATATTTGATTGATTTATTAAATATTGAACAATATTTTGTGGTATGGTCTTTCAAGGGGTTGTTACTATATATTATGCCTATAATTTCAATTTGAGCCACACATTCGATCTGTTTCTGTGGTTTATCGGTCTGTCAACATGCGACACGTGTCTCGGCTTTACTTCAACCAACCGAACAACCGACCAACCACCCACTAAGCACCCATTAAAACACCAAAGCAAAACCCCCCAGTGAGAAAAAAACCACCCAACCACCCATCTGATTTACCTAAGAAAACAGCGCAGCAACAATCGTTAATAATGCATAATAGATGTAATTGCGCTGTTTTTCGGACGCAATTCGATGGAAATTCGCATCGGGTTTTCCACGAATGCGTAACTAATTCATTACTAACACACATACATACACCCACACACACTGGCACACCCGCACTCAATCATATATAATTAACCCACCAAAGGACCTTCATCGCCCACTGATTGTTGATTGTCGACTTGTTCGCTCTGTGTTGTATTTTGTCTGTTGTATTTAACCCGAATTAATTTGCATTCATTAAACACTGCTTTTGTCTATTTTCCGCCGCTTTTGTTGTGCTCTGATTCTGATTTTCAGCCAGTCTTTATTTAGATTAATACCTGACATTTTTCTAGTGAAGTTTGTTTATTAGACTAAAATAAATGTAAAAGAAATGATCAAATAATAATGTTAAAGTCAAAATTCAGTTTATTTTTTTTAAATTTATATTTGAAATGGCAACGTTGTATAAGATATTATTTATGTACTGTACTAAAAAAGTTTTTCATTACTAGTTTTATTATATTCAGATTGTGTAAGAAAGTTATATGAAATTTAACATAAAATTTCATTTAATTTTAGATTACAAATAAAGCAAATTGTTATAAAAGAGAAATTTCTTTATATATCTAATTGGTGTTGCATTCATCTCATTTCATTATTTAGTTCTATCATAGTTTTTCTTATCATTTTCTTCATTGAATTCTTCTACCCACGAGATGCTACTCTAATTTTTCTTAATTATGATTTGTCTTCTTATTTTGGTTTGTTTTCTCTCCTATTTCTTCTTTACTTTTCGGCCACTTTTAGAGGATAATAAGTCCTCAATCAACAACAACAACAACCAGAACAATACCCAATCCCCACAACAACAACAACCACATAATGCAGCGGGGACAGCAACAACAACAGCGGCAGCAGCAACAACAAAATCGATGGGAAATTCAAACTCACCCGCCAAAACATTCTCACCCACAACCACCACCCACTCACCCGCCCCTTCTGCCTTTATGTTGCTGGCAGCGGCAGCAGGATCAACAAATGCAACTGCAATTGCAACTGCAACATCTGCAACACCTGCATCAGCAACATCTACTGCTGCTGCGCCAGCAGCATCAGCAACAGCATCCAATCCTGCCAAGCACAAACTAAGTCCCGTTGCCGAAATATCGCCAAAATTTATATTTGTATCGGATGCCAATGGGGTTTATCCCACGCCCGCAAATCATAATGCCAACGGCGATTCGCTGCTCTTGGGTTCGCAGAATATGCAAAAACGACGCTTGCCACAGCAGCGACAGTTGCAGCCACAGCAGTCACTTCATCAGTCTCGTAGTTTGCAACCGGCGAACATTTCTTTAACACCACCTCCAACAGCCACACGAACAGTGGACACTGGCAATTCACGGATACGCTGCTATTCACTGTCCAATGCCATTTCAGCGTCCAGGGATCAACAGGATCATCATCACCATGCCAACCATCTGCCATTCCAGCAGCAACTTAGCTTTGTGAGAGGCGGCAATAGTTGTGTGGTCTATGGTTTACCATCGGACTCTGTCGACTCTGCTACTGCAGCGTCTACGAGTGGATCGGGAACGGGTACGGGAGCGATGTCCATGAATATTGCCTCCTCGGCACCAGCAGCGGGATCTCAGTTGACAGCGCATCATCACACGGGACACGGCGGTCGCAGGCGCACCACCAGTTCCAACAGCAATGGGTAAGTAGTTCATAAATGAAGGGAAATAAAAAAAATGTTGAACAATGTTAGGCCAGTTATAAACACAGAAGAAAACGTTCAAAGCAATGAATTAATCACCTTTTCTTTCACTTTGTGAGATTGCTAATGTATAGCTTCATGAATCGCATAGTAAAGACTATTTAGATTATATAATTCTAAAGATAACTAATGTAAAACCTACTTTCAGAGCGGGCACTCGGGAGGTGCACAATAAGCTGGAAAAGGAGCGGCGAGCCCAGCTGAAGGAGTGCTATGACCTGCTTAAAAAGGAGTTGCCCATGCGGGATGAGGACCGTAAGAAGACCTCCAACTTGACAATACTCGATACGGCCCACAAATATGTCAAGGTTAGTCTTAGAAATCAATAAATATGGCTTTACAATAATCGAATAAATCGAGTTAAATGTATTAATAATTTTCTTTTTCGATTTCAGCAATTGACGCAACTTGATCGCGAACAGGAGGCGGAGGTGGAGAAGCTGGCGAAACAGAAGATTGAGCTTCAAAAGCGGCTAAAGCTATTGAGTTTAAGGAGGGAAACGCCACCCACCGATCAGCAAAGCATTCCACAGGCTGACAAAGGTTGGTTTGTTTTTCATGATGGTCGACATGCTACATGCATACGCTAATCTCGCGCTTTCTCTCTCTTTTTCCAGCCGTTTGCCTGGCAACAACAACAACAACCACACCAGCACCACCAACGGCGGCCAGTGGTCGGAATGGAACCACAATTCTATTCGATGCAGGCAATGCCTGTGCCACTGGGGTAAGGATTGTCTGTCAACCAGACCCTATTATTATTCCTCTAATTAAGGGATGCAAGCTGAATGTGTGGAGATTTTTAAAGGTTTTCAAAAGCTAAATATAATAATAACGGTCAAGCAAAGCAATATCAATATTGCTATAAAATAGTTTGAATACTAAAATAATAAAACTATAACCCTTCCAAAAAACAAAAATTCACCATTCATTTTACAAACCACAGCAAAACCACAAACTGAATAAACTGAATTTCATTTTTTTTAACCATTCTGTAGCACCTAACAACTGTGATAAACAAAAAAAATGCCACACCAGCCGTAGCAACATCAGCAGCAGGAGTAACCGCATCAGCCAGCAGCAAACTCAATGGCAACCACACAGGAGGAGCAACGACCACACTGACTCCGGCCATGGGCATCATGACAATTAAGAATGGCAACAGCAACATACTGGCAATCTCACCAACTGCAATCCAACAGCAGCAGCAGCATCAGCAGCTAAACAATGGTAGCCCAGCGGGTAGTCCATCGGCAAATGGAACGACAACTGGAGCTACCATTATACGTGGCTCGCCAACGCCATCAACACCATCGCCATCGCCCAGCTCTTCGTCCAGTGGCGTTTCGTCGTCGGCTTCGTTTATGGGCGGTGGCTCCTCATCATCGTCCTCCTCCTCATCATCATCGTCATCGTCCTCCTCCTCATCATCGTCATCATCTAGTTCGACGTCCAGTTCGTCATCGCCTACGCAACAACAACAGCAGCAGGGCACCTCGCCCACGGCTACCGCCCATTTGGTAGGCACACGTAATGTTGGCCTTAAATTCCATGGCGGTGCAGGTGGTGCGGCTAACGCTTTGAGTGGCGGTGCCACAATCGTGGCCGCTGCTGTGCCAACTGGCGGTGGATCAGCGAATGGTGAGTGAAAAGTGAAAAGTCCCAGTAAAAAAATCCACCAAACGGGATGTATATTTAAAAAATATATATTTAGTGGATTTAGCACATAAATATATTAAATTTTTATATTATTATTAATGTTTTATATTTTTCGTTTAGGTTTCCATCAGGCGGACAAGGATCGCAATTACAATTACCTGATGCTCAGCGCTGGGACAACGGCACAGTAAATCAACATCAACAACAAACACCTACAACAATAATGGAAACAACAACCAAACAACTGAATTGTGTGCAACAGCTCCCACCTTATAAAGAATTAAACAACAACTAGAAAAAGGTTCTCTAAAAACTCTTTTTTTCTTAAAACAAAATACAAAACAAAATTAGCAAATATTGCGTATTTTCAACACTTTAGCACACATTGAAAACAACAACAACAACAAAAAGAACACCAACAACAGCGCAGCAGCATCAACAAACAGCTAATAAACAAAAGATAAACATTTTAAAGAAATCTGTAATTTTTTATGTAAAACAAAAAGAAAAAAAAAACAAAAGCTATCAAACAGTTCCGCCCAACACTTAGCATCGATTTTGAAAATCAAGCAAAAAAACGAAGAGGAAGATTATTTTTTAATAAATAATTTTAAAGAAACAACAAAAATGCGGGAGATGAAGCTAACAACAACACCAACAATAAACCGAAAGCAGCAACAACAACAGCAACATCAACATGAGAAGACCAATTAAATAATTGTAAAAAAAAAAAAAAGCAGCAGCAACCAGCATTCATTCAACAACAACCAACAGCAAGAACAAGAACCGCTTAGAAATCCGCAACATACACACACACACACACAGGCCCATCAACATGCTATATATATTCTATATATATTATATATCTAATTGTACTACTTTATAGTAAAGCCTAGAAAAGAAGAGAAGAAAACACCAACAAGAATAGCACACTTAAATGTAAAACAGGAGAAAAAAAAACAAAACCAAAATGCGCTGTTGAAACAGAAACCACCAATGGGTAACGCTTTATAAATATATATATATATATCTAGATATATATATATGTGTATGTATATCTAAAACTTAAAAGAAGAAGATTATTAAATTAAAAAAAAAATATGTAAAAGCAGAATTTCCAAAATTCATGTGGCAAAAAGAAATAACGCTAAAAACGAAAACAGATAGATTTGTCTCTTTTCTTGACCAAAAAACACTGAAACATTTCTTTTTTTGATATACTTTCTTCTTTCAAAAGCAAAACCACAAAACAAACAAAAAACAAAAACAAAAAAAAAACAAACAAACAAACAAACAAAAACAAAAAACACAGAAACAAAGCAAAAATCAAATCAATAGAATTATATCAAATTAGAGTGCTTGTATGTCAAGTATGTGTGTGTGAGTTCGCAAACGAAACAAACCAACAAACAAACAAACCGAAAAAACATTAACCAATAGTATGTAAAACTAAACAAAACAAAAAGCTGGCGAGCGAGTGTTGTATCTGTGTAATACCCATTTGAATTAGATATTAATGTAGCAAGCAAACAACAAAAAATCGTAGCAAAAATGTCTAATAGTGCAATAAGCTAACAAAAGCCACAACCCCTTAACTATCCCCCCCATCCCCCTCCCCCTCTCATTTAAAGCAATTTTTTTTAGATGAATTTTTATTTTGATCTTGTTCTGGAAAGACACCACCACGCATATAAGACATTATCAAATAATATATGTAGTAGTGATTGCATAAAAACCATAACTTCCCCTAAAATTCCTGCCTTAAATGCCATTGAAACGGAATCAAAGTAAAACAACAGAACAGCAAATGCCCTAAAATTTGATACACCCCCCTTAAATAACCAACCCATCCTCCCAAGAAAAAAAAAAGAAAACTTAAGCTTATAAAAATATTTATATACAAGGAAAGGTTTAAACAAAAAGGAAAAACTAAAACAAAAATAAGAAAATAGCTTAGACAACACAATTATCACGATAAGGGAAAAATCTAGCAAAAAGCAGCAACACAAAAACAAACTGAATGTTATATTTTGGAGCATTTTTTTCAATGTGTATGTGTTAGCATATATATTACATATATATATATATATATATATATATAGATCTATAGAAAGAAATCGAAGGAGGATTGATAAAAAAAAGTATTAGCAAAAGATATCTCTTGAACAATAATGAATGAACGACAGACGAGACAGAGATAGAGAGAGAGAGAGAGAGAGAGAGAGAGAGAGAGCAGGTCGTCTCTTTCTAGTCCCCTTAAATATTTGCAAGTTTTTTACGTCGTCGGGGCAATGAATATAAAACTATATATCATCTATCTATATATATATTTGTATACACGAACTAAAGTGAGAGCAGGTCAGATTCAGATAGCGTGAAATTTTTCCATATATATTTTGTAAATACTTTAAAAACAAGAAAAGGAAAAACAAATGGGAAACTTTTTAATTTTTTTTTTCATCATCACGGGGAACTCTTTTTTGTTTTTTTTATAGAGATTTTTTTTTCACCAACGGGACAGCAAATCAAAAAATTATTTTCACACGAGAGTTTTTACACGAACTTAAAGATGCAAACAAATAATCATAAATATAAAAATAAAAATCGAAATCATAAACTAGAAATAAATAACTAAAATATATATGTGTATGGAACGTGTGTGTAAATGTGTTTGAATGTAAAATGCTTTAGTCACATAAGTTGAAAGAGAAATTTGAATTAACTATATAGAGTTATATCGTATATATATATATACATATATATGCCTGTGTCTGTCACTCGATTTCTGTTACTAATCATAAAAGAAAATGTATAAAATAATAATACCAAGAAACACACACTTTTGAAGAAATAACCTTAACTCTTAAATTAGCCTTTATGTTTTATGTTTAACTTATGTTTTTTTTTTGTTCGTTGTATTAACTGGAAAACACTTTTTGAAAATGTTTTTTCTTGAATTTTTTTTTAAACTATCCTTTGTAAGTAGGCATGTAATAAATGATTGAACATAATACTTTTTTTTGTGTAATTTTTATTAAAAAAAAAAACAAAACAAAAATCAAACAAGGAATACAGCAAACAACAAAACGATTTCATTTTAGAAATTTAAGTTTAACTTAACTAATTAATGTTTAAATAAATTTGTTCTTTAAGTTGAAAACAAATCGGGAGTATTGCAAATTATAATTATCATTAAATATACACAACAACAAAACAAACCAGAAAACTCAACAAAAAAATTTATTTATAGAGAAAGCAGACAACAAAAAAAAAAACACGAAAAGATTATAACAAAAACACAATAAAAACAATTTCAAACAAAAAGAAAACGAGAGAAAACCTTTTTAGCTGTAAATGTAACTTGTAAAATTAATTTTAAACGAAATGCATACAAAAATAAACAAAAAAAATTAACAAAATCGTAAGATTATGGCAAGACGAAAAGCGTAAAAAAATAATATAAATGAAGAATATATATTATATAAATGTAAATGTGTAAAGAAAACAGAAAATGAGACAAACAAAAAAAAAATAAAAAAAGAGATTTCAAAGCAAATATTTGAGTGTTCAATTTTGGAAAAGTGCCCAGCATGATATTCCATTTTAAACTAAAGCCCCGACTTCTTTTTGGGGAGAAGTCGCCAATTAGCCAATTATGGAATATCATACCTCGTTCAGTTTGATTTTTAAATCCTAGCCGACCTGCATACACACTTTTAGCTCTAGCTCGGTCAAAACAAGACACAGAGCGAAAAGAACGACTGTTTTGTGCTGCTAACAACCAACACTAACTACCCCTATCACTCGTTTTTCGATTTTAGGAAAATCAATTTTGGCCCAAATTTCGCATTTTTGATAAGGGGTACCATCATCAAAATTTTCAAAAATGGGCCAAAAATTAAGTTTCCCAGATTTGAATGCAAACCAATTCGGAATCATGGCAATCAAGTAACGAGCCCTACGAGGTATTACACTCCTCATTTGGACCATTTTTGGCTGTGCTATGGACAAAAAACTAATTTTTTTTGTTCCCAAAATTATGCTACGTCTTTTGACAGCAGAGCACGTCCTTGTTGCCGTTGCTTAGCTCTAACTTTGTCAAAACAAGCCGCATGGCTAAAACAATGACTGTTTTGTGCAGCTAACTACCGAAACTTACCACCCCTATACTTACTTTTTGCGTTATTGTTCTGATTTGTAGTGGCGAAGGCTGCTTTAATAGCTAAATAAGCAGAAAACCGAATTTTAATAGAAATTTGCAATACTACGTTCGGGTTTTTAGCTCTAGCTCGGTCAAAACAAGACGCAAAGCCAAAAGAACGACTGTTTTGTGCTGCTAACGACCAACACTAACTATCCCTATCACTCGTTTTCCGATTTTAGCAAAATCAATTTTGGCCCAAATTTCGCATTTTTGATAAGGGGTACCATCATCAAAATTTTCAAAAATGGGCCAAAAATTAAGTTTCCCAGATTTGAATGCAAACAAATTGGGAATCATGGCAATCAAGTTACGAGCCCTACGAGGTATTACACTCCTCATTTGGACCATTTTTGGGTGTGCTATGGCCAAAAAACTGATTTTTTTTCTGCCCAAAATTATGCTACGTCTTTTGACAGCAGAGCACGGCTTTTTTGCCGTCTCTTAGCTCTAACTTTGTCAAAACAAGCCGCATGGCTAAAACAATGACTGATTTGTGCAGCTAACTACCGAAACTTACCACCCCTATACTTACTTTTTGCGTTATTGTTCTGATTTGTAGTGGCGAAGGCTGCTTTAATAGCTAAATAAGCAGGAAACCGATTTTTAATAGAAATTTGCAATACTACGTTCGGGTTTTTAGCTCTAGCTCGGTCAAAACAAGACGCAGAGCCAAAAGAACGACTGTTTTGTGCTGCTAACGACCAACACTAACTACCCCTATCACTCGTTTTCCGATTTTAGGAAAATCAATTTTGGCCCAAATTTCGCATTTTTGATAAGGGGTACCATCATCAAAATTTTCAAAAATGGTCCAAAAATTAAGTTTACCAAATTTGAATGCAAACCAATTGGGAATCATGGCCATTAAGTAACGAGCCCTACGAGGTATTACACTCCTCAGTTGGACCATTTTTAGCTGTGATATGGACAAAAAACTGATTTTTTAGTGCCCAAAATTATGCTACGTCTTTTGACAGCAGAGCACGGCTTTCTTGCCATCTCTTAACTCTAACTTTGTCAAAACAAGCCGCATGGCTAAAGCAATGACTGTTTAATGCAGATAACTACCTAAACTTACCACCCCTATACTTACTTTTTGCGTTATTGTTCTGATTTGTAGTTGCGAAGGCTGCTTTAATAGCTAAATAAGCAGGAAACCGATTTTTAATAGAAATTTGCAATACTACGTTCGGCTTTTTAGCTCTAGCTCGGTCAAAACAAGACGCAGAGCCAAAAGAACGACTGTTTTGTGCTGCTAACGACCAACACTAACTACCCCTATCACTCGTTTTTCGATTTTAGGAAAATCAATTTTGACCCAAATTTCGCATTTTTGATAAGGGGTACCATCATCAAAATTTTCAAAAATGGGCCAAAAATTAAGTTTCCCAGATTTGAATGCAAACAAATTGGGAATCATAACAATCAAGTTACGAGCCCTACGAGGTATTACACTCCTCATTTGGACCATTTTTGGCTGTGCTATGGCCAAAAAACTGATTTTTTTTCTGCCCAAAATTATGCTACGTCTTTTGACAGCAGAGCACGGCTTTTTTGCCGTCTCTTAGCTCTAACTTTGTCAAAACAAGCCGCATGGCTAAAACAATGACTGATTTGTGCAGCTAACTGCCGAAACTTACCACCCCTATACTTACTTTTTGCGTTATTGTTCTGATTTGTAGTGGCGAAGGCTGCTTTAATAGCTAAATAAGCAGGAAACCGATTTTTAATAGAAATTTGCAATACTACGTTCGGGTTTTTAGCTCTAGCTCGGTCAAAACAAGACGCAGAGCCAAAAGAACGACTGTTTTGTGCTGCTAACGACCAACACTAACTACCCCTATCACTCGTTTTGCGATTTTAGGAAAATCAATTTTGGCCCAAATTTCGCATTTTTGATAAGGGGTACCATCATCAAAATTTTCAAAAATGGGCCAAAAATTATGTTTCCCAGATTTGAATGCAAACCAATTGGGAATCATGGCAATCAAGTTACGAGCCCTACGAGGTATTACACTCCTCATTTGGACCATTTTTGGCTGTGCTATGGACAAAAAACTAATGTTTTTTTGTGCCCAAAATTATGCTACGTCTTTTGACAGCAGAGCACGGCTTTTTTGCCGTCTCTTAGCTCTAACTTTGTCAAAACAAGCCGCATGGCTAAAACAATGACTGATTTGTGCAGCTAACTACCGAAACTTACCACCCCTATACTTACTTTTTGCGTTATTGTTCTGATTTGTAGTGGCGAAGGCTGCTTTAATAGCTAAATAAGCAGGAAACCGATTTTTAATAGAAATTTGCAATACTACGTTCGGGTTTTTAGCTCTAGCTCGGTCGAAATAAGACGCACAGCCAAAAGATCGACTGTTTTGTGCTGCTAACGACCAACACTAACTACCCCTATCACTCGTTTTTCGATTTTAGAAAAATCAATTTTGAGCCAAATTTTGCATTTTTGATAAGGGGTACCATCATCAAAATTTTCAAAAATGGACCAAAAATCAAGTTTCCCAGATTTGAATGCAAACAAATTGGGAATCATGGCAATCAAGTTACGAGCCCTACGAGGTATTACACTCCTCATTTGGACCATTTTTGGCTGTGCTATGGACAAAAAACTAATTTTTTTCTGCCCAAAATTATGCTACGTCTTTTGACAGCAGAGCACGGCCTTGTTGCCGTTGCTTAGCTCTAACTTCGTTAAAACAAGCCGCATAGCTAAAGCAATGACTGTTTTATGCAGCTTACTACCAAAACTTACCACCCCTATACTTACTTTTTGCGTTATTGTTCTGATTTGTAGTTGCGAAGGCTGCTTTAATAGCTAAATAAGCAGGAAACCGATTTTTAATAGAAATTTGCAATACTACGTTCGGGTTTTTAGCTCTAGCTCGGTCAAAACAAGACGCAGAGCCAAAAGAACGACTGTTTTGTGCTGCTAACGACCAACACTAACTACCCCTATCACTCGTTTTTCGATTTTAGGAAAATCAATTTTGACCCAAATTTCGCATTTTTGATAAGGGGTACCATCATCAAAATTTTCAAAAATGGGCCAAAAATTAAGTTTCCCAGATTTGAATGCAAACAAATTGGGAATCATAACAATCAAGTTACGAGCCCTACGAGGTATTACACTCCTCATTTGGACCATTTTTGGGTGTGATATGGACAAAAAACTGATTTTTGTTGTGCCCAAAATTATGCTACGTCTTTTGACAGCAGAACACGTCCTTGTTGCCGTTGCTTAGCTCTAACTTTGTCAAAACAAGCCGCATGGCTAAAACAATGACTGATTTGTGCAGCTAACTGCCGAAACTTACCACCCCTATACTTACTTTTTGCGTTATTGTTCTGATTTGTAGTTGCGAAGGCTGCTTTAATAGCTAAATAAGCAGGAAACCGATTTTTAATAGAAATTTGCAATACTACGTTCGGGTTTTTAGCTCTAGCTCGGTCAAAACAAGACGCAGAGCCAAAAGAACGACTGTTTTGTGCTGCTAACGACCAACACTAACTACCCCTATCACTCGTTTTTCGATTTTAGGAAAATCAATTTTGACCCAAATTTCGCATTTTTGATAAGGGGTACCATCATCAAAATTTTCAAAAATGGTCCAAAAATTAAGTTTACCAAATTTGAATGCAAACCAATTGGGAATCATGGCCATTAAGTAACGAGCCCTACGAGGTATTACACTCCTCATTTGGACCATTTTTGGCTGTGCTATGGACAAAAAACTAATTTTTTTTGTGCCCAAAATTATGCTACGTCTTTTGACAGCAGAGCACGGCTTTTTTGCCGTCTCTTAGCTCTAACTTTGTCAAAACAAGCCGCATGGCTAAAGCAATGACTGTTTAATGCAGATAACTACCTAAACTTACCACCCCTATACTTACTTTTTGCGTTATTGTTCTGATTTGTAGTTGCGAAGGCTGCTTTAATAGCTAAATAAGCAGGAAACCGATTTTTAATAGAAATTTGCAATACTACGTTCGGCTTTTTAGCTCTAGCTCGGTCAAAACAAGACGCAGAGCCAAAAGAACGACTGTTTTGTGCTGCTAACGACCAACACTAACTACCCCTATCACTCGTTTTTCGATTTTAGGAAAATCAATTTTGACCCAAATTTCGCATTTTTGATAAGGGGTACCATCATCAAAATTTTCAAAAATGGGCCAAAAATTAAGTTTCCCAGATTTGAATGCAAACAAATTGGGAATCATAACAATCAAGTTACGAGCCCTACGAGGTATTACACTCCTCATTTGGACCATTTTTGGCTGTGCTATAGCCAAAAAACTGATTTTTTTGCGCCCAAAACCACTTATACGAATCGTACGTCGGTTGACAGCAGAGAGCCAGGGTGTTGACTGTTTTATGCAGCTAACTACCGAAACTTAAAACCCCTATACTTACATTTATTATTTAAATTATTTATTGTTCTGATTATCCCTGATTATCTTATCCCTGAAAAATCAATATATTTTAATTTTATAAATTTTATACTTCATACTTTCACGTCCAAATAGAAAATGCGTCGTTTTTATTTCTCGTATTTTTCGGTTTATTTCTGAGTCAAGCTAAACGTACACTCCTTCAATCGCCATTTCTTTTTAACTTTCATAATTATAATTTATATATATATATTTATTTATATAAAAAAAATGCGGGTTGTTGCTTGATTTCGCTTTGAATATATATGCGTGTGTTCGTGAAGAAGAAAAAAAAATTGTTGAGTGTTTTCTTTTAGCTGTGGCCGTGTTTTTTTGCAACAATTTTCACAGAGGGAAACTAGGAAAATTCTTGATACAAAAGTTGAACCAACAATCAATCGATTGCATATATAACTTATATATTTAATAATAATAATTATCATAATAATAATAGCTTAAATATTACAATACAGAATGCAGTTTTACAAAAGTAAATAAAAGGAGCAATTCAATCGGGAGAAAAATTTATAAATATATATTGGATGTGTTTCAGCGTGAAAAAAAATATAACCATATTAATGAAAGGAAAATTTTCAAAGCTTGTCACAAAACGTTAGTTTATCATTTTTTCATTTGTATTTTGGATTTCTTTTTTTTTATATTGTTTATATATCCCTACTCATTTGCTTTCGGTTTAGAAAATTACAAAAGTTGCATTAAAAATTTGTTTCGATTCATTTCGTTTACAATTAATAATTGGAGATATTTTTTGTTTTCGTTTTTCCTTTGTTTTCTCTTTTCTTTTCTAGCATTTTAAGTGTTTTATACTTTAAACTATTTTGTATATATATTTAAATATATATATTTATATATATATATATATTTAGATGTGTAAAAAGCTTTTCTGTGTGGTTTCTTGTTGGTTTGTGTTTTGTTTTTGCATTTCGCTATTAAACTTTAAAATATTACAAAAAATTAATGCATGTATGTATAATTAAACAAGAGAAATATCTATAGCATTTATTAAATTGCATAATTATTACGGCTTTTCTTTAGGTGTCTAAGATTGGTTATATTTAATACGTTTAAGCTTTAGTTTTTTTTGTTTTAGTTTTAACATTTTCTTGTACGAGACGGGAGAGGGCAACACAAAAATCACTCAATAATTCAAAAAGCAAAAAGAAAAAAACTAAACGACAGAATTTTTAAGCTGCCTGTCTGTGTGCTTTTAACTTGATGTTTTTACGGGGAAAATTTGTTGCCTAAATAATATATATTTATGTATATTACAATGCAAGTTAACTTGGATTTGAGTGTGGCAAATAATTTTGATATTCTCTGCTTTTTTTATTTTATTTTTGTGTAAGTGTGTGTTTTCTGGTGTTTTCTAAGTTCATTATTTATTAACATATCGCTTCTGTTCTTCATTTTTTTTTATTCTGTTTGTTTGTTGGTGTTATCCGTGTGGCCGTTGTTTTTTTTTCAAGTTGTTGCTGCTGCAGTTGTTTGTTGTTCATCGTATGGTTGTTGTTGTTGTTAAAGTCGCTTGTTGTTGTTGTTGTTGTTGTTGTTCATCCTACAGCAGTTGGCAGCAATGAGAATTGGGCTTCGGCGGCTGTTTCACGTCCGTCTGACGTTGTTTTTTACGTGATGAAATATCCCTGATTAGATCATAAAATACCTAGATATATAAAAATCTTTTATTAGTACAAAACTTTATATTTCTTATTCATTTTTATTATTTTTCAGGTGGTGGGGTTAATTTGTTTCTCTATAAGTACAGAAATTTTGAAAAGTTGCTAAAAACAAACCAAATTAGAAAGTAGATCAAACGAAAAGTTTAAATAGTGTTTTAAACTTTTATCATTCGCCAGAGAACAGGGATTTTCTATCAACATTCAAGTTTAGTTAGAAATAAGTTAAGTTCAATTTAATGGATCTCAAAATATTCATTTTGTATTGTATTTGGGTAAAATCACTGTTCTCTGTACAGTTAACTTATTGTTTTCGAACACCAAAAGAAAGTTTTTATGAAATTCAACAAACCAAATTAAATGAAGTGAAAATTTCAGGCATATATGTCTCTAAAGCAAATTCAAGTAAACTGGAGAGAATGCTTTAAAAAATCAATCAATCTTGTTTTAGAAAAGTGTTTGTATAAGCGTGTATGTACAAATGTGTGTGTTTTTCTTTTTGTGTAGGTGGAAAGAGTTTCTTCAAAAAAATCCCCCAGTGTATAAAATAGTCATTCAAAAGTAATACAACTTTTTTTTCCAATGTCCATACTAAAATCTCTTGAACAACACCTAACCTGTCACTTCTTGTTTCACCATTATATAAATTTTTATAGATTTGAAAATAGAGAAGCTGGCAACCCATTGTTAGTATATTAAACTATAATAATAAAAAGCTTTTAAACATCGAATTTTAAACGATCATTTGATATTCTTGCCATTACTATCGATGTTTTTCCAGCATCCTATCTCAAATATATATCCAGTGCTACTCTAATCTTAAAGATTTAGGCTTTCTTGTTAAATTAAGTGTAGTCGTGTTAGTTAGTTCAAATGTGTAGTCTTGGCAAACCAAATATGATACAAAATCATATAAATTTATACAACAAGCGGAAATATAACATTAATATATTGTATATAAATAAAATCAACCAAAATAATATTAGTAGAAGAAATAGAGAAAGTGCCAAAAGCAAACAAGCTGGGGGGTTAAAAGCAAAGGAATTAGAGGGTGTTTGTCTACAGGTTAAGTGGGGATGTATATATATATATATATATATACTCGTATATTCATATAGGATACAAATATTATAAATCGTATTTGAGATAGTGGAAGAGTTGTATGCACCTAATGCCTAAAGTAGGGTACACTTAAGTCTCCGCTTCTTGCATCTATCTTTAGCACGCCCGCTCGTGGCTTTCGAATCTTCGGTTTTTCGTGATCTTATTTCGCGCATCAAATCAAAAAATACCTGTAATTGTGGATTGGGAATTAAGTCATATACAAATTCAGCATCAGAAAGTCAATTAGTAAACGCTAAAGTCAATATATTAAAATCGAGAACCAACATAATTACACACACACATTTTGGTTTTTTTTTTTTTTTTTTTCTTTTTTAAGATAGAGTTCTATTAGCTTTTTGGCATTTATTAACACAGAATAAAAACTAAAGTTGAAATAAAATATATTTGTTAAAGGCAACAACGTTGAAAGCGAGGTAAATTAGGCTACGATTTTTGGCAGTGCATTTATCTTTTCTGTTGTAGCTGTGTGCGTGTGTGTATCTGTGTGTGGCTCGCTGTGTATGTGTGGCAGGGGCTACAAAATAGTGTTAAAATCTAAAGTCGTTTTTCTTTCTATTGGAAAAAAGTATCTGTATTCTAAAAGTAAAATAAATAAGCAAATTTCTACGAAATATTGCTACTGATAAAATGTGCAAACTTTAATGAAATTGGCCCCCAATATCTTATATTAATTAACTAACATTAAAAATATATATTCATTTGGAAAGCTTACAAGATTAATTCCCCATTACAAATGAATTTATTATTTGGTTTTTCCCTTGATGGTTTGCTTCCTGATTAGATTTGTTTCCCTCTTTCATTAGAAAGCATACCAAAAGCAGCTCAGACGTATTTACGTTGTTATCTGAACGCCCCCCCACTTATCATTATCATTGAAAAATGTTAACCTTGAATGGAGTGTAGAACTATAAAGATAGATTATATTTAGAGAGGAAATAACGTAAAGAGCTTTGAACTTGTTTTCAATGTGGAATATGTTTAATGTTATTTGGAATGTAAACCACAAGGCATTCCATACCATACTTGTCCCTAAACGATCTTGCTACTTTACTTTACTAGCATTACAAAATTAATCTCTTAAAATTAACATCAATTTCTAAAGAATAATTATACTTCTGCCCTTAATTATCAGAATGATTTTTTGGTGAATGTGTATTGAATTCTCTAATCAAAAACTAGCTGTTCTATAGAAAACCTAAACCACTTGATAAGACTGTTTTGATTGTGAGAACATTAAATTTACTCAGTGAATGCTTTTTGTTTGCAAGTGAAACAAAGGCAAAACTAATCACATTCAAATGAACTATTTAGTAGGAAAACTAGTTGAACGCAACAACACAAAAAAAAACTCCGAGTGCAGTTTTTATTTTGTTTAAAAAAAAAACATTTTTAGCTTGCCAATTTCCAAAAAAGTTTTTCAAATTTGTTTCGCGAACGGATCCTCCGAGATAAAATATACGACATATTCTAGCCACGATCTAACCCCAAGCTCACCTTGTCCACGTTTTCGCGGGTTTTAGCCGAGGTCTCTACATAGGGCACCGCCCATTGCTGCGCCCTCGATTGGCACTCGGTCAACGGCACCTTGCGCTTGTCATTCAGATCGCACTTGTTGCCCACCAGCAGGAACGGTATGCTCTCATCGTTCTTCACCCGCAATATTTGTTCTCTGTAAAGTTCAGCAAAAAAAAATGTACATTAATACGAGATAAAATATTAACAATTGTTAATAAAAGGAAAAGGCTAAGTGAGAAGGAGAAGTCAAAAGCCCTCAGTTTCATATCAAACTGAAAGTTATTAAATTTTCCTTCTACAATTTCAATTTTAATCCCAGTTGCTGGTGTAAAAATGAAAACCTCAATAGACCTAAAAGATAAACAGTTATCAAATTAAGTGACTCAGTGTATGGCACTCCATTTATAAGTAACGAGACAAGCGGTTGTACTTATGTAAACACACTGAAACGAACAAGACAACGCATAAATATAAGGGTATATATGAATATAGATGTATACACCTATCTCAAGCCATTCACACCCTGACATCTAATATCAATTTTCCAACCATATTTATCTGCCTGCAGCGTTATTAAGCTGCCAAGTTTGAATAACTAAATTATGACGATGGCATTGAGAAAATAGGGGGTTATATGTGGAAATTTTATGACTTCGACATGGAATATTCAGTGTTAGGAATTGTAAGGACATGATATGGCATACTTAAAATGGGATTATAAAGCGATAGGTATGGCATATTAAGGGGTTGGTTAATTAACTTGGACTTTAGTGAATATTTAAGGGAGTGGAGAGAAATACAGAGAGAGAAATAACTAGTTGTCAATACGAAAATAGAAATAATAATCACCAAAAGCCATTTTACTCATCATTGAAAAGCTAGCAATCATTAATTAAACGGAAAAATGAGTCAAACATATGAAGTTTTTGAGTCAGGAAGTAAAGAATTGATAACAAACTTACTCATCAAATTTATTTAGAACAAAAAAGTTCGAACAAAAAACATTAATTCCCAAAACAATTGTTATTTTGTAATTTGTTATGTACACTCATTTAAGCCTCAGACCAAGAAATGAATAAATATTAATTACACATTCTAAGCAGGAAAAAAAAAGAGGGAACCAACTGAACATCTTGTGTTACTAATTAGCACCACAGAATAATAATAAAAAAAAAAAGACAAAATAAAACTCATGTAAGAAATAAAACCGCGACACTTGTCAGCCTGAGATGAACGCAAAACGCGAGTCTCTCAAAAGACCTCAAGAAAAAAATGCGGAAAAAGGGGGAAAATGCGAGAGAGGAAAAAAACCAAGTGGAAAATGCACGCCAGAGAGAGCCGCTTGACACACTCACCTGAATTCCTGGGTTGCCTGGAAGCTTTCGTCGTCTGTGATGGAGAAGACACAGAGGAAACCCTCGCCGCTCCGAAAGTAATTGTCTCTGATGGCGGCATAATCCTCCTGGCCAGCCGTATCTAATATATCTATTTGTACTTCCTCGCCATCCAGCACAACCTATTGGTAAATTATATTTATTAGTTTATTTCTTTTGATTTTTCACACTAAAAAATTCAAAAACTTGAAAGTCCAAAAATTCTTCATAATTACATTTAATTTCCTAGAATCAAGAACCTCCATCATAGAAATACTCACCTTTTTCCTATAGCTATCGGCCTTGGTGGGCTCGTAGTCCTCAACGAACTCATCGTACATGAATTGCAATGTGAGGGCGGACTTTCCCACGCCGCCACTGCCCACCATGATGACCTTGTGGAGCGCCGGTCCGGCTGTCGGCTTCTTGCTCATGATGGCGGGATCTTTTCACTCACACGCTCAAACTTTCTGTCTGAAGAATAAGAAAAAAAAAAAACAAATACCCAAATAAATAAATAATTAAAGAAATAAATAAGTGCTTCCTGTTTGGATAGTCAGCAAATCCAAAAAGTGAAATACACGCATATTTCTTGTCGTTGTCTTGCCATCATTTTTTATTTGTTGTTTAAACTTTTATATAAATATTTAAGGTGCGAATGTAAATAGCCCGTTATGAATGGTCAACTGCCAAAGGAAACCACGATCGTATTTGTGTTTTACAACCCAAAAAAAGATTGCAGCTGTCAACTTAACAGTCAGCTCACAGGTTTACTGATTGTTTTTTTTGTCTTGGCTTTTCAGCTTTTCTCGGGGTTACGTAACAAACGATGGCAATAAGAAAAGCCGTCAATGATTCGCCATTGTACTTTTTACACTTTCAATGCTCTTACAAAAGGTATTTTTCATTTTGCAGAGATCGTACTATTTTACATTTACATTTTATTAGTTTTTCCAATGAATATTCCAATTATTGAGTAATAAACAAGGTTTTTTTTTTTACTACTAATAGTATTTGAAATTTATTGCAGATGTAAATTTATATAGAGTATTTCCCATGTTCGACTTGCCAAGTTTCGTGTTTTGTGGCTTGTTTCTCTGCTTTGTTCGAGTCGCAAATGAAGCATAAAATGAAAAGTTCATTGAACTATTTACACATGGCGAACCGGGCCAACAACGGCAACATAAAGGCCAACATATAGCAGCATAATGCAGACCGGGCCAAAATGACTCTGGGGTTTTTGCGCTGCTGCCGTTTGCAATTAGCCTTTTGTGACCATTCATTTCCCTCTTCCCCCCTCCGCCCCTTGCCCAAGTCCCTTTTTATATTTGCTTACTGCGTCATCGATTGCAATAAATTGAGGCATTGAAAACTACGCATTGAGGCTATTCCCTTCTATAAATGATCCAAAGAGAAATCGAGACACACGTGGCCATTTGGCAATCGGCCAATTTCATTCAAGAGTTAAACCATTCAAGCTGATATTCCACTTTAGGATTTAGAATGCTTTTTTCCCACCACCATAACTTGGTTATTAATTCCCAACTAGCTCAGGGTTACTAAGGTATTTAAATTACCGAAAAAAAAGTACAAAATTGGATACATTTTCAACTGTTTATACGAAAAATATTAACCGCATTGAAAGGCAAACGCCTCGAATTCGTTGTTCATGGTTTGCTACACGAGAAGATACAGCGAGGTTTTGAGGTTTTTGTATTTATAAAAAGATTTCTTTAAAGAGTAAGAACTACAGTATATATTTTTGTTAAGCAAAAAACTTTAATCACAATTTCTGTCTAGACTTTAGATAGACAAGCTACTCTGTTGCCCCACAAAAAACGAATCCAAATAAACTGCCAAGATATAAAAGGGTATTTCAAAAATAGACCAATTTCCTATATCTCCATTTCTTCCGTCTTTTACTCAGTTTACTTATTTTTTTCTAGCCGCCTTTCAATTTGACGCGGCTGTGGAAAAGTGGAAAATTGAATGGAAAGCGCGCAGGCAGGCAGGAAAGGCAGCTGCTGCTGCTGTCGAATGAATCCGGAGGCAACAAGTCAGTCAGCCAAATGAAACAACAACGGCCAAACAATTGTCAGTCAGTCAACCAGTTGGGCCACCACTGCGTATGAGTAATCAACGTTAGAGCTGCACGTCAATCAATTTTTACTCGAGAGAGCGCAAATATAAAAGGCTACAAAAAAGAAAAAAGAAAAAAAAAACTTCCCACACCCATGATGTTGAGTCAATTGAATTGTCAAGGAGGATTGTTGGGCAATTGCTAACAGCAACACCTGGGAAATAGCGGCAGCAAACTTGTTAAATTGCATATTACTCATACGCAATGGTGCGCGAGCTTGACAACGCAAAAATACGGAAAAAACCGGGTGAACAAAAAAAAAAATAAGAAATAAAATATAAATTAGCTTTCAAAATCCGAAAGGCAAACTTTTTTGCACACAATTTTCAGAAAATTCCACAACTTCAACGCAACTCAAGAATGCAAGAAATTATGGAGCACTAAAATGATCACAATAATATTTCCAAAAAACGTTTTACGATCCCGAAGACTGCAGTTTTCCGCATCTGCATTTTTCTTTCATTCTAAATTTAACATTATGGCCAAGATTATATGGTCCCAACAGCATTTTGTGCATTCCACAGACTCTACAAGTTAAGTAAAAGAAAAAATGTTAGTAAAACTGGACAAATACGACAAGGAATTTCCCATTTTCAATTGAAATATCGACGAGTTCGATTAAGACTCGATTTTTATGCGTTTTTGTAATTGAAAAAAGTTGACTTGGAAGTCAACCGTCGAGTTAAACGAGATATGGCTCCCATAGTTAATATGTACTGGTTGTGAAAACCAAATTGAAGAACTTGAAGTTACCACATAAACTAAAACGCTAATAGCTTAAGACAACAAACATACGATTATTTCTTTATAATTTCCTCAAACATTATCAAGTTTTTGTTATTTGTTATTCTAGAAATTTGACTTCGTGCATTTACCATTAGCAAATCAGCTTTTTCTTTCGACTTTCTCTAGAAAATAATGAAATAAAAATTACTGATGATTAGATTATTTTCGTTTGGGAATTTGCCTTATGGAAATATAGATAAAGTTTTTCCTTAACCGAAATCGTAAAAACCGATTTAATTGTTATAATAAAAAAAAACCAAACAAAGCAGGAATGAATTTGTAGTTTTTAATGGCTGGCATAAAAAAAAGATTTCCCTCTAATTAAAGGCGGGCAAAAAATAGAATGCTTTTGGTAAATAAAAGTACCAGAAATATATATATATATATATATATATATTGAGAACGAAAAGATCCAAACATTGAATTTGGTGGTTCTGCGTTTTGCGGAAATTTCATTTGTTACCTTTTTGGTGTATAAAATACAACAGAAAGTCGTTTCACCTGACGCCATGACGTCATTGTCTAGTTGTTTATCCTAGTACCACCCACCATCAGCACCACCAACAACCCCTTCACACCCCGCCAAAAATAACCAGCCAGCTTTGTGCATAAATTAGCCAAAGTTCATGTTTGCAATTTAAACAAAAACGGAATTTCGTTTCCTCTATTTGGTGTGTCAACATTAATTGCTCTTTCATGTTCATCAAATATTAATTTTTAGATTCCAGCAATCTTCATGTTGATTAACTTTACTTTAATAAACTATAGCATTTGTTTATAATAAAAATTTTAAAAGATTTTCACTAGATATTATTTTTCCTTTAAGATTTTTTAATGGAAATCAGCTAGTAATTAGTTTATTTTCTTCAATGCTCATTTGTCACTGTCAAATATTTGTATTTCAAACACAAACGTCTGTGTGTTATTTTATCTGATATTTATCAAAATTTAAAACGCTTTTTATATATTGTTTGAAAATATTCATTTACACTGTTAAAATACTAATATTTTCCATATATAAGTAGAACTATTCCCAGATTTTTTACATTCAGTTTGCCTTCAAAGGTTTTTTTGTTTGCATTTCAACTTTAGCTTGACATGAAAAATCGTTATTGAAGCATTTTTTTTTTTATTAATATTTGCTAAGCTCAACATTAATCTTTCACTACTTCAAAGGCTAAAAAGTTTTGTTTTGAAACTAAAAATCTCTTTTCACCTTTTCTCGCACGAACGAGCCCGCAAACTAAAGTACTTTCATTCATTTGGCAACAATGTTTGCGCTTTTCCACCAAAAACATATATATATATATATATATAAACTACCCTTTCCCGATTTTGATACACTTGAAGAGAACTTGGGCAATTATTTAGTATGAAAAATCGAACCGTTTGGCTGATATTTATTTGGTCCCAAGTGATTTTGAACAGACCGTAGGAATCGACCGATCGAGAGAATTTATGAAGTTTTTCACAATCCGCCATTTTCCTGCACATTTTCTGCTATACAAGAAAACTATATATATATATAGATATATATTTTAAATCTCCCAGCTCCGTTGGACGTCCGATTTGTTTATTACCTATATCATGGTTTTGCTCGTTTTCCCATTCGATTTCAATTTGGGTTTTCATTTGTTTTTTTCTTCTTCTTCACAGCTTTTCCGTTTATTCCCCTATTAATTTTTTGTTTTTTTTTTTTTTTGGTGGTGGATTACCAATGACGTCAGTTTTTAGCGTCTTCTACTTTTTGAGTTTAGTTTTTCATGGTCTTCAGCCACGACTGGCTTTTATTTTTATTATTACAGTAAAGACTCTGGTATAAGGAATAGTTGGTAAGTTTAAAGTTTAAACTTTGAAATTGAATGATCTACGATGTATCAATCTTCTGCATAAATCCTACTACATTCTATTGATGACTTAGAGATCGAAATCTTAGATACAATCTATATAATCGATTTGCACTTTATATTATGGATGCTTTACTGTACATAGTTTTGACTTTTTTGTGGGTGGTTATCCAAGCGTGATGTGTGGCATGTGCAACTCGAAGAGTTTAGTTTAATGCTTAAAGTGCACGAAAGTCTACGAGTTTACCGCTATTACCAGTTCCCACAAAAACGGGCCTTTCGTGCCTTCATACCTATCCTCTCACTGCTTCTTCTTCTTCTTCTCTTTGTCACCCTCTTCGCGTTTCTGGCCTTTGGCATTGCCTTAATTTCCTTCGCCTCTTTATGTTGGCATTATACCATTAGTGGAGCGTCTGCTCTAATGACACCTGAAAGGGGTATAGTATATACAACTAAATATGTATATCAGGTGAGGCAGTTGAGGTATTTCTAATATTCCTCTACTAGCTGCTAGATTTATACTAGATTTACAAGTTGTTAAGAGATCATTTCTCTTTAACTTTCATTTTACTTGGAAATCAAGTCAATCATGTAAAAAAAAAAAAGAACCAAAAATATATATTTTCTTATTTCATGTTTCTAAAACTCTGATCCCTTGGGTATCTCTCGGGTCTATATCTTTAGCTTACTATATCTTTTAG